TTAGATCCCATAATGATGATCGCCGCTTACACAATTTTCATCATTTGATTTACCTTACGACGTAGTTGCTAATAGTAGTGAGCCATTTGAACAAAATATTATAAAGACTTCAAGACTTTCCTTCGCGCGAGATTGCTGTTTTTTTTTTCAAGTAAAATGTGCTTTTGCTCCTAATAATTCAGGAAAGAAAGAGGATTAACTTGACATATGTTTTCATACTTAATTTAAAATTTGCTCTCTGTAGGTGTGGTTCAAGCATCAAAAATAAATTCAATTCTCACCTTAACGCCGAAGCAGCAGTCTCTTTCCAAAAACGAGCGTGAACTTGAGATATTTTTTCACATTGAATTTGAATTTTTCTCCTTGAAGGTGTGGTTCAAGTATCAAAAATAAATTCAAATCTCACCTCAATCCCGAAGCAGCTCTTCCCAAAGCCAATGAATTCTTAGTTCGTTTTTCTCTGTTAACCTCTATGGTAAAAAGTTAATTTTGTTTGAAAGTTGCTTGTGAGTCACCCTCTGAACAGATTTCGTTAACCCGCCGCTATCAGATGCGAAGGTTTTTCAATCGAAACAGATATGTTGTAGTGCTGTAAGTAAAGTGTGGTAATGTTAATTTTTCGTTATGGTAATATCATAAGTCTTACTTGTTCGTTCAAAACATGAGTTAATGGAACTCTTAAGCTAAACCAATTTCTTCAAGGAAAAATTTTTCTGCAATAAATGGACAACATCTATTTCAGCGCAAACCTCTTGTTTCAGTGTCCTATGACTTTTCCCAGGCTTTTACTTTTCGTGTGCCAGGAGCTAAAAGACTCTAAGGACTTTTCTATGGTTCATAGTGAACAATAACACTATCAATTTTGGGACCATATACGTCTCGGCGCGTTTCGGTAAATATTCACTGACACTAAGCGAAACGAGATAGCTTATTTCTAAATAATGGTTTAGTTGAATAAAAGAAGCTGGCCATGTCAAGAAAGAACGATGAAAGGCTTAATGGTCTTCCATTAATTAAACGTTTTCGTCATTAACTTTTTGACTTTCTGGCACAAAGAGTGCGATTAGTCTCGAGAAATTCGGCTTAGAAAGGAGTGTGTCACATTTCTTTCAAAAATTCCCAACCTACGTACAGCAAACTTCATTTCAAACCCGGAATTTATAAAATTAAAATATTTTTCCGCGCTAAGAAACAATCCAGTTTATGTGAAAATGACGGGATAAATATACTCCATCTGATGCTGACCTTTATTTGAAATCAGTCAGACTTTATCAATATATTCTCCATTTTGATTGGGACGCCGGATTCAACTCGTCTCAGCTTACTTTAGTTTGAGCGCCCTTAAAAAATCGGCAAGTTACACCGTGAACGAGACTGCAGCGATAATCAAGCGCCAAAATGATCATTATGCGACGTTATTCTTTAATTTATATCATGGTAATTACTGCAATGGCTTTGTTGGTTGTGTTGTCTGATCGTCTGGGTGAGACTTTATATCGATACATCCTAATGCAGCAACTATAACTGACGTTTCGACAAGCTGAAGGGGAGGCATGATCAGAGTTTGGTAATTTACAATTGTTGGTTATTAGAGCGATACAATTCTGTTTCCTTAAAATAAGTTTGGCCTTGATATTATCAACTGTGAAGACTCGAGTGGCGAACTTTTGTTGTGATTGGTCTGATTCGATATTTACAGTTGTTAATAAAAGCCAATTTTCTCCGTCATAAAGGTCAAGGGATATTGTTTTCACTAGGTCAAACTCCAAGCTTTTCCAACAAAGTGGACGATTTTTAAAGTATCGAAACTATTTTCGAAGCGCTCAATGTTGGTTCATCAAATTGGTCAGCTGCTGCGCAAGATTCCATATTTTATTTCATGCTGCCATTATATTAAAAAAATCCATTTTTATCAGAAGAAAAAATTGACTAGTTTGTCCGAAGAAGAATCAACGGCCCTTGAAAACCTCGTCAAACGTTAAGAGATTGTAGATGAAGCACCTGCTGATAAAGGCACCGCGGTACAATATACTTGTTTGTTACTAACAAAATCATTTGCGGCAAGCCTCTCAGCTCTTCTGACATCTCTTTCTTTATTTATGTAAAGATTCTTTTCAGAGTCCCCTTTCCAAGAAACAATTGCCAACTCCTGCTCAAACTTTCATGACAATGACCGTCACCGTGCCCTGAACTTCTGTTTTTTTGCAATGAGCTTTAAACCGAAAATTTACCTGCCATTTATCCAGACCTCCTCATTGCTTCCGCTTGCAGTTTCCCGAACAAATTTATTGCAAGTTTCATTTCCAAGTTCGTCAAGGAAGAAAATCTAATTTTGTTGTGCATATTATTACGCTATAAATTGTTTTGAAATTACCCACAGTTCTCTTTAAACTAGACAAGTACGTTAGTTATTTTTCTGTTAAAAGTTCTCCTTAAGTTAACCCACAATCAGACGTTTTTTTTAAGGGCTTGCGTGGATGATTATGACAGCTTTTCCGTGAAAACGGCTATCAAAATCTCAAGCCCTAAACACTTAATCAAAATCACGTTGCTTTTACCTTCACCAATGTATTTCACCGTGCTTACACCATGCAAAGCAAGCTATACCTGATGAGACCTGAAGAAGACTGGTAGCTTAAGTGTAGCCGTGCCCTCCTCCCGTGGCGGAGACTGGGAGATGGCCTCCCTGTCGGTAACGCGTTGTGGAGAATTTGTACCGGAAGTGGGTTCTCGGGTTGAGAACAGACTCCCTGTTGAATCTTTCACCCTTATAGATAGCGGCATCTAAGAGAGTAGCTGCTGAGACAAATATGTCAGCTTTAAATTTGATTGTTGGGTAGAGTTTATTTGCTTCTTCAATGAACTAGCGCAAGAGAAAGATAATGTCGTCAATGTAGCGTTTCCAAACGAACGGTTTGTGAGCGTCTTCATTTAGGATTTGCATTTCGATTTTAGCCATGAAGATATTTGCAAAAGCTACCGCCATTTTGATGCCCATGGTGGTCAACATGCATAAGTTAGCTATGGGAAATTGTAAAAAGATAGTAAAAAAGGAACAAACGATAATAAAAATAACAGGAAAAGAGAGAAAACTATCATATCTAATTTCGAAAAAGAGAAAGGAAGAAAAAAACAACCAACACCAACCAAAACCGTATGAAAAAAAAAGATAAAACAGCGGCCCAGTTACAACTTGTCTGCCAGATCCAAATCTTACTCAGAGAGGAGTTACTCGACCCCGACCCCCACTCGTTGCGCGCCCACGATTACCAGTCGACCACCTGGGATTTCCATATTATATTAGCATAAATCGTCGGTGTAAAGAGTTTTTTAAATACCGGGTTGGGGGTAAAGGTGATGAAGTTTTTTCTGACTTAGATACAATGGAGCGTTTCCGGTCAAGAATAAAGAAAATGAATCATACAAAGAACTGATAGAAGCGATATAAACGAGGAATATTAGCACGTGCCGTATTGACGGACGGCCTCGTTTTCCGGGACTCGTTAGACACAACGATTTGGACACTTTTCAAAGAAGCTATCGAGAGTGTGCATTTGCACAATTGACGCATTTTTACCTCTGAAGACGCATTTATGATACATGCAATTCTTTTATTTTATGCTCACTTTTCACCAGACGCAGCTTTTGTAGCCGGAACATCATTTGTTAAGTTAATCAACAGAGATTTGTGGTATTGGCCGCTGTGCTAATACTTGCGAGGAACATTTTAAATTTCCTATTCGCCCATAAAACATACCATTTAAAATACATTCATTTTGTACAAAAATTAGATCCCTTACAAAGGGACATAGATATACATTGTCCCAATGCAAACACTTTCATAAGTTTCACTGCACTGTATTAATCAATACCCTTTCCTCAGCGACAATTGGTGGCACTTACATAATATATTTAGTTCTAAATTCGTGTCCGCTTGGTATCCTCGTACTCCACTATCTTAGCAATGAAACATCAGGGGAATACTCCATCTAAAATCTAGCTGGCCTGTACATCCGTTATGCAGCTCTTTTAAATATTACTGAATTTAGGACAGAGCCTTCAAAACCTGCTGAACTATGTGAGAGGGCAGTCAACCTTTCAGCAGAACTAGATACTTTCCTATCCATTCACTTAATTGGCAACAGAAAAGTCGTACTGAGGAGGAAGAGGACATGCCCGACATGCAACTATCGCTAAATATGCATAAGTTAAATATGAAAAAAACTATAAAAAACAAATAAAATTTGAACAAATTTTTCGGACAGTTTTCAAAGAGGCTATCAAAGAGTGAATCCAACTGACTCAAGTAACCATGGACCGTGTAGACTGTAGACATCAAGCCTAATAATATAAATCATAACTGGGCAGGTGAACTAAATGCAACCATCTTTGTTATGTGTGAATAATGTTGACCTCTCTCCTTCTCTTCTCCTTCTTCCGCCTGCACCCCGCGAGAGGGCTTGCTATCAAACCATGTATTAGTAACAAGAGTTCCGTGGTCATCCCTTTGCCCTTTACCTAATTTGAATCAAAGTTCTGGCTGATAATTCTCCCTCTTAGGATCTAGGCATTTTTTCGTAGAGTAATTAAACAAAGTTATTGTCATTTCGAGATAACATTCTCCATTCAAAAAAGTTTTTGTCAGTGAATATAAACTGCTTTGCCAGTGAATATAAACTGAAATGGTAAGGAGAAATTGCATGTTGATGACCTGAGGAGGTGAAAAATAGCCTCGTCTTTTCGACTTTTTCATGTGCCCACACAACCAAGGTCGTATTCTTCTGGGATCAACGGTTTTAACCGCAGTTTTAGTTGAAGCGTTTTAAGATTCCTTATAGACATCGAGAAATGACTGGTAGCTGTGCACCCTACTTGCTTGCGAAGACGACAGCGGTCGCTATGCATGCTTTTTGAAGGAATTTGATTTTCAAGTTAATTATTTGAATTTAAAAGTAATTTTACTCCATTTGACTTTATTTTTCACATGAGTGTTTTTCTCTTTAAGCTGAATTTTCCCTCGCACTTTCCACCATAGAAACTGCTGTGATGGCAGTACCGTCGCTTCCATCTGTTACTCGATTACTGTTTATTCTTCCACTGATTTTAAAACAGACTGAGAGCATGATTCTGAGGTAACCGTTGCGGTAGTTCTTGTTGCTCAACCCATATATGAACGGATTCACACAGCTGTTAACAAATACCAAAATAGAGAGACCATGGTGCAGTTCGCTATCCAGTCGTGCTTTTCCAGCCATTGCCAGCGCGTAGTTGATTTGATTTGGCGCGTAGCACACAATGAGCATGAAGCAGGCGGCGCCGACCATCCGCGTCATTTTCCCGCGCAATTTAGCTTTGCTTTCAGCTGAGGCGACTGTAGACCTGCCTGCCTTGTAAACCATGTGAAGGAACAGACACAACATGGTCAGGCATGGGAGCACCATTTTGAACAGGACTTGAATGATTGCAACAATACTGCGCACTTGTTGTTTACCCCAGAACAATTTCCATTTGCAGCGGCGATTCAATGGCTCCGTGGGAACATACGCAACTTCGAACAGAGATGTGCCACAGAGGAGAAATGACCACAGCCACACGAGGGAGATGTAAACGAGCGTTCGCTTCTTGTTAAAGACCTCTTTGTACTTATATGGTCTGACCACTGCATACCACCGCTCAGTTGCCAAAGCCATACAGATGTAGGCGGAGAAAACCACCAGCTGGAACAGAAGCGTACGACTCCACAATACACGGCAGAAGATGTCGCCAATGATGTGATTTGTTGGATAAGGAAACGCGTCACCAAGGACAAAAGCTGGGTTTGTGCTGAGCAGCAGGGCAGTGAGAACATCAGATATGGCCAAAGACAGAATTAATATGTTGTAGGATTTTTTTAGTAGATCCTTGTTCCCGACAAAGACGAGAATAACCAAGATGTTCCCAATTATAGCGACGACGGACAGAATAGAGTATGTTGTCCGTGTGAACGTGGTTATTCCAGGAGGAGGTTGAGGGCTTAGTGAAGGCGTTGATTCGTTGGAGACGTTCATAATTACCATATGGGTGTCAGCGTCTGGATGAAGTGTCTTATTTGATGCCTTAAAATTATCTGTTCTTCGGTGCTAGCATGGATTACTCTGTTAGTTTGCGTAAGAACACATAAAAAAAGTATTAATCCCAGCATTCACTTCAAACCTGCCCAAGATTGCCAGCTGTAACAGGCTTGAGATGTTCTGCAACAAATTTGGAAAAGAATTTGGGAGCAATGAGCTATTTCTCTCGATGTGAAACTTAAAAGAGACCCGAACAGAAAAATGTGTTGCACAGTTCGTCAGATGAGAGGTTTGCCATTGAACGTTACTTTGAAAGAGGATTTCGTTATGATACTATTGCTTAGTTTTTAGAAAAAAAGGGATGAAGGGCCTTCGGTTTCACGTTTAATCATAACCATTACAATTTCCTCAAATGTGATTGTTGCATCAGCTGCTTTACATTTCACTGATCACTCTGTAAAATTGTAATCGGACAGTTGGCCATAATCGGAAACCTTTAATCGGACAGCTAAAGCAGCCAATCATACTAAGTCCACTCACTGGCTAAATCCACCGCTTTGCGGTCGTCCGATTTTGTTAATCACTCGAACGATTACAGACCGAATTGGACTCCACTCGGTCCTATTGCCATTATTAATTATCTCCCGAACTTCGTGCTCTGAATGGACTTCATTTCTCCTCAGTCTCAACCCAAACTCACACAACCTTCTCTTTAGAGTCCTCAAGTTCATAAGATACCATGGTATTTTTCTAAAAACTAAACAATACATCGACGTCAGAATGGCTCATTGCTCATAAACTATTTTCCACATTTGTGGCAGAACATCCCAATGCACTTGGTACAGTTTAGTCTGTTCGCGTAGTGACTCCAGGTCGACCTAGTGCAACCTGGTGCGACACGATGTGCTGTATCTTGACAAAGTGCTGACTACTGGCGCAAGTGTCACGTTACAAAATATTTTTCTCGATTTGCAAAAATTTTCTGATTTTGGAAAGATTCTTGGATTGTAAACTATTTTCGATTTTCATGAAACTTTCTTGTGGATCTATGAATTAAGCCGGGATTTGAAATTGATTTCTCGATTTGAGAAACTTTTCAAAAGCGATTTGTCTAAAAGATATCGATTCTAAATATTTTTTCGGATTTTCAAAATATTTTTGGATCGTCCCTTTTCGGCTTCCGTACTTTGTAAATTTATATCATATTAAGGACTCAGTCGTGTAGTAGTCGTAGTTGCTGTTGACGGGAGTGACCGAAAATTTAGAAAGCTTTACGGAGAGAGAGTTACTATGGAAGATTATTCATTTTGAGTAGATTGGAGACAATTGTGAGATTGTTTCAGTGGTGAGCCAAGTCATGAATTGCGGTGCGCTTAAGTAACTTTATCAAGGATAACTACTGTATTGCCTTTAGGAGTCGCTCTTTAGTAACAACATTACGACTTGTTTAATAAAGTGGTTAAATTTAAAGGATTGTGGTGTTTTCTCTATCGGTTGAATTATACCGTAACAGATGTCTATAGCTGGTTTCTTTTCTTCTTCTTCAATATGTCACTGTAATCTGCCCTTTGCCGAAATAACTTCTGTTTTAGCCGCTGTTGAAACTTTTGATCGACAAAGGAATGAAGCTTTATGGAATTTTTTAAGCTTGACTGACTATGAGAAGTTTAAAATCTAGGATGATTTGGCCAAAAAGTCCGAATAACAAAACTGACGAAGCCCTATGTTTCACTATGTCATGTGCCGAAAAGATATTTTACCAATTTTTTTCACTTCTAAGTTGGCAATATTATCCTCTGAGCTAGAAATACTCTAAATCAACTTAGCTTGGCAAGCTTTTATTATATTTCACCAAGACTGGCTTCAAACCTTCCGGCCATTAATGGTAATTATTTGAGTCCGAGGGCGGCACTCGAGACCGAGAGCACAGTTTCTCCCAATACGGACCTCCCGGCTAGCGAATAAAATACATATATCCCTGAATTTTCAGGGAAGCTGCGTTGACTGACAGTTTCTCGGGCTTTTCATTTTACATCAGTAATTCACTCAGTACTCACCAGCGATGTTGCTCATCTATGTTCCACGACATTGGATCAGTTCTAACCAGCGACTGCAGTGGTATGGTTTTCGTTGCCGTTTTTATTGCAGACAATGCCAGACCCGGAAAGCACCTGTCCTCTGATGTACCGCCCAGATTTAGGAAACTAAAGAGAACCATCCATTTTTTTTCGGTGAAGCAATTTACAAGTGATTGGTTTGTGCTAAATGGATTATAATATTCAACAATGAAACAAACGCAGTAAAATCTCAAGGGCTGCACTAATTCCTGTTTTTATTTATGTTCCCTAGCGCATCTTTGCATTTGCAAAATTTTCACACGGTTTTGAAAAGCTCTGCGTAATAGGAGGGAACCTTTCGGCAAGTCATTGGAAAGAGTAAGTGCATTTTTTTCTGAAGACAATAAACGCAATTTCAGAGAATCAATTTTTCTTTTGTTATTCATTTGCGCGTATACCGTTCTGAACCTCTCTGCGAACATATAAACGCAGTTTAGAATCAGGATGCTTTTAAAATTTCCATTATCGTAATGTAAAGGACTTGCAGGAAATTCATAATTTTTAATTTGGAAGGGATTCGGTGCGTCTTGTTTTTAATTAAAATTTTTTATGAAATGAAAGGCTGAAGATCTTTCACAGTAACTTAACAACTAACATTTGATTTTTCATGTTCCGACGTAATGACTGCTTGGCTCTTAAAGCAGCAATTTTCAATTGAATGCCAAAATTGATCCCTGTTTGGATTATTTTTTCTATTTATTACAGTCTGTGAAACAAATAAAGACACGCTTGCATGTCATCATGATCCCCATTTTGACTACAACATACCTCAGAAGTTTGACTGTGTCCAGCAAGAAGTGTCTTGAATATCCATATTTTTCTGAAGGGCAGATAAGTAAGATTACGTACCAAGATGAAACGAACATTTTTATATGATGTTTCGAAAGCTAAAGACTACTAGGAAAATCTCTAATAATGCCTTCTACCACTTTTAATGATTTCGGATTTCGAATTCAACAAAAGAGCACATCTCCGTCAAGTGTCTCAAAAATTAAACCAAAATAATCACAACGGCCCAATTTCAGAAGCCAAAGCGAAGAAAAGAAAATTGCCCAAAGCATGGGAAAATGCGAGTGCCTTGAAAAATACACGATTGTTGTTTTGTTGGTTTTTTTCAGTGGTGTGAATTAACTAGACCAATCACAGACGTCTGTTTTAAATCATTACGAATCTAAACAGGGATCAAATTTTGACATTCAATTGAAAATTTCTCCATTTGGAGCCAAGCACTAAGACGTCAAAAATGAAAAAGAAAATGAAATAGCTGAAATTACCGCTTCACTGATAATTTCTTAAAAGCTGATGGACTGTTTGTGTTTGCGATATTACCCAGTTTTCACAATGAAGTATTTTTGTTCAATGTCTTTAATGGGATAAATGTGCGCACGGTAAGCTTCGATACGCACACACACTGAGAATAGCTGGGACTACGACGAAACTGAAGTAGATTCGAGCAACTTTCCACCAAATATATCGTTTCTTTGTATAAACCAAACAGGCAAGAGATTACAAACTGCAGTATATTTAGCAAATAGAGAAGCCTTGACAGTGCTCTGTTCTGTTGTAGAGCACGCAGAAAGCAGCTAGAGCACGAGAGAAGTGAAGAGAGAAACACAAGACGTACAACATTTCAGTACAAGATCACTGAAAACGTAAGACTCAATTTTAACAAATTTCTGTGACTGAAGGATTCTTGTGTAGTCCCATCATTAAAGAAACTATTTACACTACATCATGCGTCAGGCCTAGTTTGGTTGTGAACGACTTTCCGGTGAACCATATTTATCCTCGAAAAAACTCCAAAAATCTACAAACAAATAAAAGAAACTGTTTCGTCTTTTATTCGTTAGAGTCTGTTTGGTAGTTAATGGTTGCACACCTTGAACTATCTGATTTCGTTAAATAAATTAAAAAATATATTTTTTCATCTAATGATTACGAAAAGCATTTTGCTGTTCACGCGTGGTTTCCTGATCAAAGGAAGTAGCGGTGTGAAGGAAAATTTAGGGATGTCATCAAACAAGCTTAGTTTAATTTAAAGTGTAAACCACTTTGACAAATATCTGTATCTTTCATTCGCCTTTCGAGCATAATAATTATTTCTTAAACATCAGCCTCCTGTCGACAAGGACCAAACAGACCGTGGACAGCTCTGGCTGTCGAGGAGTTAATTACCCGGGAAAAATTAACGCCCGGGTGGAGTATGGGAATATTTTGTGACTATGTATCGAGAGCTTAATTAAATATGCTACGCAAGTAAATGCCGCGTTTGGTGCAAAGTGAACATTAAATTAATGAAATTGATGTATGATAACTGTGTCCACAGAGGTAAAAATGAGTGATACCCGGTTTGCAACAATGTCCCGACGCACACACTCGATAGCTTCTTTGAAAAATGTCCGAAACGTCGTGTTTGACGAGCCCCGAAAAACGAGGCAGTCCGCCAATACGACATATGCTAATATTCCTCGTTTATATCACGTCTATCAGTTGCTTGTATGATTAATTTCCATTATTCTTGACCGGAAACGCTCCATTGCATTCTAAGTAAGACAACCTTCCTCACCCTCCCCCCCAACCCGGTATTTAAAAACTCTCCATACCGACAATTGATATTAATTAATGATGCATATTCCAGATGGTCGACTGGTAATCGTAGGCGCGCAACGAGTACAGGAGAGGTCATCGAGGCCGCGGGTTCGAATCACGCTATAGGAGTTATTCTCAATCTGGCTTGGGGGCCGAATAACTTCTCCCCGAGTATGATTTGGAGCTGGCGGACAAGGGGTAACTCTCAAACTGGCTTGGGGGCCGAGTAACTCCTCCCCGTGAAATTTGCATTTTGATTTTGTTGTCTTTTCTATTTTTTCCCCCTATTATTATTATCATCTTTGTCTTGCTTTCCTTTTTCTCTTTTTTTTTTTTTTTTTTTTCTGAACAGGTATCTCTTTAGGCCACCGTTGTATTTTTTCTGTTACTGTTTGGTAAGTGTCAGTTGTTTGTTTTTTCGTTCCTTTTTTTCAAAAAAGATGTAGTATTTTTCTCTCTTTTGATGTTATTTTCATCGTTATCATTTGTTCAATTTACTTTTTTTTTCTCACAATTTTCCTTATTTGACTCATGAAAGTTGAGCGACAGTTGCACAGCAAATTAATGTAAAGTAGTTTCAAATCGTCGCCCATAAGTAACTAAGCGTGAACAGTAAGAGTTAGTGTCAAAAAGTTTCTATCGAAGTCTCCTTTTTTCCTCCCATTGAAATAGAGCTAGAGCTTTGAAAAGTAGGTCAGCAATTTAACTCAAATCCTTTCACTCTTTTCCACTTTTATGATCCCATTTAATGTGGAAAAAATATCACCAAGCTCTCCAATTAATGTAAGCACCAGCCTCCTGTTGACAAGAACCAAACAGACCGTCGATTAGGCCCCTATGGATTAAATTGTGCTTGCATAATCCAGGGGATTGGGCACACCGGAAATAAAAATTGCGTCTGTCCCAGTTCTTACATTCACAGGCAACAAAGTGGCGTCAAAGAGTAAAATCACTGCCTCTCTGGAATTAAGTACTGTAGCTAATTGTGTTTTATCAGAGAAAGTATGTAACTCAAATAAAGAAGATATCCTGCTTTATTGACACTAAATGAGAACGATTGTTTTCAAATGAGTAGCACAATTTTCAAAAACGAGCATAATTTGGAAGAAAGTCGAGCAGTACTTTTACATGGAGTCTACAAAGTCTCCTATACTTTCTGTATCTCACCAGCACTTAGACCTAGTCTTTCCACGGCCACTTCAAGCTCGGTTACAAAGTTGGGTTGACTCATTTTGAAAATATGGCGGCAGAATCTCTGGTCTTTTAACTCCTAGCTTTTCCTTTCTTTAGAGCCAAATCTCATCCAATACACTTCTACGTCAGACACAAGAAAGAAATATAAATATAATAAGGAAAAATGTCAGATCGTTGGAATAAATTGCGAGATCAATTCAAGACAAAAAACATTGATTTGGACGCCGAGTTTGAGAAGTTCCTGAATGAGGTAAGCTAAACAAATTGTGTTTAAACTTCAAAAGAGTGACATTCAGAAATTTATTCGACTTTCTTAAACAAAATTGGATGGGATACGTGTTTTCAGAGAGTAGCATAATTAATGCATGGCGATTTAGTTTTCTACAAGCGCCTTGTAAGGGTGGATAGAAATGAGAGGAAGTAATCCTCCAGGCAAATGTTACATACTTTCATCGACTAATTCCTTATGCAAGCTTACACAGCCTTGTACTAGGGGCATATTTTGTTTATTAATCAGGTTATCTTTTGGGATTGTCTTTTCTTAAAGTTCTTGCTACATTATAACTATTATGAAGAAGAACTATCTGTTTGGGAAGAAAAAATTCTGCTTATTGTAGATGGATAATAACGTTTTATTATCGTAATATTATTATATGGAAAGACAGTCCTGAGATAAATCCGAGCATTCTGATTGGTTGTTACTTGGTTAGTTTTTTGTCATATAGACCCCTTCCACAGAGACAGCTATAAGCCATGTATCTGTATCTTCGTTTGTGAAAGCTGGCAAAATCAAAATAAACAAGTTAATGGTCTGAGTTCCATGTAATAAGCTATGAATGACCTTACTTGTTCGAGCCTTACTGTGGAATATTGGCCCTCAGTCATTATTGTATGGACCTTGCTGCACTGTCATGTCTGTATTGCTACAACCTTGTGCCAATATAACTCAGATGTTCCTCATGCTTGGTTAATATTAGAAATTATTATACTTCAACCTAGTGAGGAACAGGAAATGTTCACAGATCTGTTTTTTTTTTTTAGTCCATGTCTGATGAATCCTCCCTTGGCTCTCCTCGCATGAAGACTCCTGATCTGAAGGCAAAGCCTCGTGGACAGATGCCATGGTGGGCAGAGGAAGAAGATGATGATGACAGGAAAAAAACTGAGGCTGTTCGACAAAGTTGGCTGAAACCAAAAACTTCCAAATTGGGGGAAGGAAAGCCAGAGCTAGAGACAACAAATAATGTATGATGAAAGTGAAACATCCTGTTTTTGGCTGTTTTTTTTTTTAGTTTATAAAGCTCAATCCACCTTCCACTCAAACTTTCTCTTGTTCATTACTGCAAAACCTAATTTACAAACTTGCCTCTGTAAATTTTACACAATAAACAAATGTCCTGCATTGCTAGCCACAAGATACTGAAGTACATGTAGTTCAATAATGGTACTCAGGCAAAAACGCCAGCACAAAATGTTGTTGGATTCAAAAGATAGTCATGTGCTCTTAACAATAATAAAAATATATTTAAAAAAATAATAAAAAACCTTTATGTCATGAATAATATTTATCAAATACTTTCAGGATACAACTGCGGCAGTTGCCACACCAGAAGCACATCCTGATAAAAGTGGTGGTACAGCAATGTCTCGTGGAAGTTATATTGATACCTCAGCTCTGTCCATGAGTAAAGACAGCCTAGAAGAAGGTTACAGTATGTAGTATATCTAGATCGAGAAAAACACTTTAATCAGAGGAGGCTTTAACTCTTGAAATGTGCACTTCCTAAATTTCTCTATAGTGGTTTATGTATCCTTAATAATTGATGATCAAGGACATGCTTCCTTCGCCCATTTTCATAGCACAATACTGAGTTGATAGTGTAAATTGGCCACTATGAAGAGTTTTTCAAGCTTTAGAACCGTATCTACTCAGTTGATAAAACCAAATCATCCTGTAATAGCCCCCATGGATGCAGCACCACAATTTCTTTAGAAGCTTACCCGTTTTACGGCACAGTACTTTTTTTAAATATCGTTACCCACCCTCATGTTATGTAAAGCTTTTCACAGTTAAACCATGCATAAGCTCCCCCAAAGGCAGTGAGCTCTTACCAAGAAAGGTGTGATGTGTGTGTATGTGTGTGTGGCTCATAATTTGTTTTAAGCATTCTTGTCTCCTCTTTGATGGCAGGTCTGGCAAAGTCCATGGAAAAGAAAAAGCCCTCACATGAGGAAATACTGAAGAGGTTTCCTGTTTTTTGTTTGATCTTACATTTCTTCTCATTCATGTTAAAGATTCCTTTTTAACTAGTTTTAATTACAGATGTTATTATAATTAATATTATTATTTGGTTTTTTAGCTCTAATTTGATAATTTTTTGATGGACCATTGCATGTTTCTTGGGCAGTGGTTGGAAAGTTGTAGTGGATTTTATTTAATTAGTGCTATTATTGTAAATTACTTTTATTATGTTTAAATTTAGTGGAAACCTGTAAATTAGCTCTATGGCAAAGTGTTTGACCATGTTCAATAAAGTTATTCTTATCGTCAGCCTTTTTTGCCATGCACTAATTGTGAATGCTGCATTCCTTGGCAAGGCACATTAAATCCCTTGATAATCTTTATATGGTTTCTGGTGTTCAAGACATATATAAAATAGCTTCTTTTAATAAATTGCATTACTTTACTTAAAACTCTCGGTTAACATTTTGGACTGTTTTAGGCTTGGATCAGAAGACTTTGAGGACACTTTAAGCCACAGTGGTATGTTTGTTCATGATTTAGATACACTTATTTATAATTCATGTCAATACTTTGTGATAATTTTTTCAGTATTTATTCACAACAATTAATTATTTTTTCACTCCTAACTTTCATGTGATTTTGTCTTCTGTAGATGAACCAAAAACAGGAGCAACTACTAGTCAATCCTCTCCAGTTCCCCAATCATTTTCTGCCAAGCATGCCAGCATGGGACTGGACACCATGAATGAGGTAGCTGACAAAGAAAGATTCTTTCAAGATATGGAGGGTGGCTCATCATCAGTAGATTACAACAAGAAACTCAAAGAAATATCAACTTCTGAGTCAGCTGATGTACAGAATCAGTAAGTACTTTGGACTCCTTGATGGGAGTGTTTAGATCTCTGACGTTACTAAATTATAAGGTGGCCTGGGCACATCTGCTGAGGTGGCACCTCAAGAACACAACAATTGGGTTCCATTTTAGTTCTGGGCATTTTTATATCTTCCCTGCCACACAATTTCTGCAGCAGGACCCAACATAACATTCAGCTGATTGCCAAAACTAGGGGAATGTGACTGTTTGGTAACCAAAAGTTATTTCAAATGCTTGTCATAAGAAGGAAACCAAATTAAATACTTTTATCTTGTCCTTCGTGACTGTTTACTAGTGCTGAAGACACAAAATGTGAATCATAGTTTCTGTTTGTTTATTTATTTATTAGGCAAAAACATGTAGTTTGCAAATTGGACTTTTGGTGACCAAAGCCTGCTATCTGGGGATTAAAAAAGAAAACAAAAATTTTTGTAATTGCCCCTTGGTGCTTTTGTGAAAACATGAATTCCATACACTCACTAAGGAGGGTCACTTACCGGTAATCCCTTGGGATTGTCAGTGACCATTATTACAAGGTTTGAACTCTCCAAAGGAGGAGTTTATTGTAATTGATCCAAACAAGAAAACAAATACAAAGTGTGCATTTTGTTGGTTTTTAATTTGAGTTTTTCAATTTTATTATGTGGATCTCAAGGTTTGACAATGAACACCTGCAAGCAACAGGAGCTGAACTGGGTGACTCTATATTCAATGTAACAGGTTGGAGTACCACTTATGTACTAATAACGGTAATAGGATTGACTGGAGTCCGAGTTGGTTTTTTAATTTAGATGAGTTATAAACAAAATTCGATAGTCACAAAGCAGACTCTGGCTTTTTTAATGACAAGTATGACTACATCTACAGAATTTAACAATTGTTAGTTCTATGGCCAATTTATTAAAACGAAGTTCCTGTTGGTTAGACTTATTCCAGCATCATTTTTTGCTTGCCACTCTTTATTATCATCATGTCCTTGGAGGTTTTAATTCTCACGTTTTAAGTTTCAAAATGACTGCTAGGCAGTTTCTTTCTGAAGGAAAAAACATTATAGTGATAATGATGAGAATATAACAGACAGTTCTGTCAATTTGATAATAACCGTAGAAATCAACTTATAATAAACAGTTACCGGTATTGTCTGTAGAGTCAAACTGTGTGAAAGTAAGCCTATTTTTCTCTCATGTCTTCAGGAACTTCTGATCAAAGAGACAAAGCTGTTGAAGAGGTAGAGAACGATAAGTTGGGTGGTGAAGACTATAGTGATAACTTTGAAGAAGGAGAAGAAGAAGAAGAAGGAGAAGTAGACGATGAACATCCCGATGATAATGACACTGAACAACCAGCAAGGCCTTCAGCTCCGGTATGATGCAAGTTAAAAAAGGAAAATTGTGAATCAATGAATGAAAGGCTTCTTCAAGGCGGTGTTGTGTTTTCTGCACCAGCTGTAATGTCCCAAGGACAGAAGACCTTTAAGCGTGCGTTATTTATTAAGTGCTTTGTTAAGGTCGTTTAATATCAAGTGTCGTTAGAGCAATTTTCGATCGAGTGATAAAAAGTAATCTGGGATTGGATTGGTTTTACTCTACTTCGCTGTATGATTGGTCCAATAAATCGCTTTGACGTAGGGCTAACGCTCGAAACGTCAGCTTTTAAACTCTTTATAGTGGCCAATTAATGTTATCAACTTAGTAAATTACTAAATTACCCTGTTAAAACCAATCACGACTTGGTCGCCCGCGTTTTCCCGCTCTTTAGGCAGTGTGGTTGGTTTTACTTCGAGTTCTTATTGGCTCTTAAAGGTATATTTCTCTCTTCTGATTGGCCTTTAAGATTTCTTTGCTTTTGATTTGCGACGCTCAGTCGAAAAGCGCTCGTATCGCTAGGAAACTCTTAATACTTTATCAGTGTGGTGAAATATCTAAAATGCAGGCATAGACAAAACGAACAGGTATAGTTAAGGATGTAAAATATTTATCATGACTGCAACTAACGAGCTTGAAAAAGTAAGGCTAATTTTTTTCGACATGCGCAAAGATATAAAGTGAAGAGGACAGGACAAAAACGTAGATGAAAAACTTCGGGTATAGGTTTGTTTCAAACGCTGCATGAAGGAGGAATTCTTTTCGCTTACCCTTAAAATTGTCTTGATTTGCGGTAAATATTAATACTATGATTCTATTTTCCATTTTCTCACTAATAAGGAGCCTGCTGAAGTAGCTAAACCGAGTATGCTGTCCAAAGGTTTGTGCACTTTCAAAATTCAAACAAATAAATCCTTTCGATTTTACGAGTCATTGTTATGGTTGGAGAGGACTACTGATGTGTGTAGTAAAACCATGAGGTAATCATTTGTTGGGGGTAAACAAACACCAACAAACCAACAGAATGAAGAAACGGGGAACAAGAGTGGTTAAGAATGCAAAAGATGAAAACGAATTTCAGATGAAGATCTGTAGACAAGATTTTCAACACGTGCAGACCGAGACCTATCTTATTATCAACATTTTCTATTAAAAATTTTCAGCTGTTTCGAATGTAATCTACAATTTCACTGGTTGAAGCTCACTACTGTTTGTGATTGGCTAGGAGAATTCGCGCCGCCTTCTCGACCAAGCAGATATACAAAACTAGAACCAATGGCTACTCGTTCCGCGCGCTTTTTTGCCGCGTTTCAAGCAATTTTTTTTTTTACTTAAAGTTTCCTGGACTGCTTGTGTTGTTTTCGTTTGCTATAATTGCCTCTTGTGATGAATTTTTTTTTGTTTCAACAACACCTTGTCGAGTAGTGCACCCATACGAAGGTCAGGGATGTTCTGATCACTATTAGTATCAACAATTATCAATTATTGTATTGTTATTATGTCAGTCGACATCAATAATTGTGATAATATTTTTTGTAATTCAATATTCGGTGCAGTAGTTCCTTGTGTATTTTTGGATTGGAAAAACATAATCTCTTGACCTTCGTTGAAACTTTTCTCCACACTTTTTTTTTTTTAGTTTCTTTGATGGAATCTTTAGATTCTACTTTGGAAACCAAGAGACCTGCTGCAGCGCTGAATCTTCTATCACAACAAAACAAACCTCAAGTTGGTGTCTCTTCTGAAGGTCAGTAATGAACACTGAGCAAATTTAAATAGAATTTCTGAGGTCGTCCGGACAAAACCTCGCACTACCCTGTTCCCTCGCAACCAACGAGGCGCTTAATCCTTTTATACGCTAAGAGTTATTGGGATCTAATTTCTCTTTGCTTCATCACCGCGGAATTAGACATTAAGGTCTTGAGGATAAGGAAAATCATCGCAGACTAATTCAGCTTGTGATTGTCAAATAAATTCTCCTTTTAAGTACGATAGAAAATGGAAAGATAACAGTATGGAGAAAATGAATATTAATGTTAGGGTGCAAAGGGTCAACTCAAACTCGTCGCCCCTCGGTAACTCTCGTTTTTCGTGCTTAAGGCCTATTGCCCATTATTGCTACTTTCACTGATTCCGTTTAGTTTTACGACTCTCGGTAGAATTGCACTCTAATATTATAAAGAGATGTACAAGTAATTTTTCCTCGCTTGGCTTCCCCTGGCAACGAGACACAGCAGTAATATCCTTAATCGTTAAAAGTTCTAAGTCTTTAGGACTTTGTAACAACTCACTTTTACTTTCAAACATATAGGCTTCCTTTGGCTTGGAGATCAGAGTTGAGGTTTTATTAATATTATCTTTTTCAGGATCGAAACAGAGCCCGACGTCCAAAAATGAAAGGCAAGCATCTTTGTTGAGGACCGGACCTGATTACGAGGCGAGTGGAAGTACAAGAGACATTCACGAGTTGCAAGCTGCGCTGCAAGCTGCCCAGCTTACTGTTACTGGCACAGGCTCCAAATACTCAGGTACTCAGCGAGAGAGCCAAAATAGTAGCCTACTTAATAGACTGAGACGGAGCATATTACCCAGATTACAAGCTAGAGTTGTTTCCGGTCTGGTTGTTTTGGGAGTATCTCGCCTTAACTTTGGTTTTTTCTTTCTTGCGCATTTCTTCCTTTTTTGAAAGAGCTCCAGATTTCTATGCGCAAAGACGCTTTTAACCTGAAGCATTTACGTAGTTAGTCAAAGTGTGTATTAGTAATATTGCTATCTTTTATCTCCCTTTATGTCCATTTAATTCGTTATTGAGCATGTTTTATCAGTTATGAACCTTTGAAGACTTGGAAGCAACGCTTGATCGGGTTTCTTTTTTTCCCTAACGATGCCAAGTATTCTGTAGATTTACTTTGCGAAATCGCCCTTACGTCGCTTTTTTTATTTGTTCCTACGCTTTCCCTCGTCCAAACTAGCTACCCAAGATGCCCTCGTAATTGAAAAAATTTGAAATATGTTTTGGTCAACTTGAGTCTAGCTTGTGCCAGACTGTCGGTCATTAGAGACGAACGAAAAGGCAGGTGAGCGAATTTCAGCGGGGATCTGGAAAGGAGTGGCCAAGGTGAGGCCTTTTCCTTTCGCTCGCCCACTTTTTCGCGCGTCTCCACAAGCTCACCGCTTAGAATGAGTGAATTTGTCTCCAGTACGATGCTTCAGTTCTTGGACTTGATTCTAAATCTTGATTCTAAATCGCGTAACTCTCAAACCATTTACAGGTAATTTCGATCTTCCATCATCTGAAGCAGCGAAACAGAGTACGGACCAGCCGGACGAACGGCAGATTGTCATCGAAAAAAACCAACAAGGGGAAACGCGTTCTCGGGGTTTCGACCTACAACCGGTTGTGGTGACGGATGACTGGGTTTCCACTAAAGACGGTGGTGTCATACCTAGCGAAGAAAAGCTAAGTTCTTTAAACGAAGAAGGAGGGTTTGGATTGAAGCCTGTGCGGGCAAAAGACGATCGTAAAGCGGGCATTGAGTCTAGTGTCGAATCATCTGATGGAGGAACACGCGTAGGAACTGTGTCAGGCACAGGGGAACAACGCGGTCTGGATTTGGCTCCAGCGCTAGGCGGATATACCGAGGAAGGGCGAGGATTTGATTTGCAGCCTGTTGATGATGCAGCTGGCTTCAGTCTGCAGCCGTCACCACAGGCAAGAGGCTTCGACTTATTGTCTGCTGTCGCTGCGTCGCCTGGGGTGACTGAAGGAGGGCGGGGGTTTGATTTACAGCCAGAAAAAGAAGGGCGTAGTTTTAATCTTCAGCCATCATCTAAGGCAAGGGGTCTAGACTTTAGCCCTGCGGCCAGCAGCTCGTATGGAAATACTCAGGATGGGCGTGGATATGACCTGCAACCGGCAGATGAAAGGAGTGGTTTCAGCCTACAGCCTGTCGTGAACTTATTGCGAGCGGAAAAGGAAGTGCAAGAGGATGATGATGATGATGACACTCCGCCCCCGGAGAGCTTGCAGAGTATTAAGAGTATAGCACGAGCAAGGAAAGGTGCAGGGGGGAATAGCCTCAAGAAGAGCACCGAGACAAGTATGTCGGGTAAGAAAGCGTCAAAGTTTAGCAAAGAAAAGCCCGGCAAGAAAACAGCGGTAGTAGAAAAATCGCAGCACAAGAAGGAAAAGGGCAAAGCGTCTGGCAGTCATGCAGACAAGAGCAGTCTTTTTAAGCCTTCTCCTTCATCTGGTCCATCCTGGTCTCCCACGCCCACTATGAGAAGTAGTAAAACGAAGGTTAGTCTTGTCTCTGAGGAAATGTAGTCCGAATTTTCATCCATGAATAAACCGTTTCAAAATTTCCTTTGCGATACCAGCATTGTTCCATGAAACATGGATTTTATAGGACCCCCTGCGTATGGAAGACTGGTTTATTAAAAGGGTTGTAAGGTAACGTTATAATACCGTTACTGTAAACTTACAGCAAACCGAGAACTTTGACATTTCGCGATCACGAATCTCGATCATGTCAATATGTCGTTGTGTTATTGTATAATCTCCCACTTAACGTCTCAAAGAGGTCTTCGTTTTTCAGTGGATCTTAAAAGTTCACCAAAATCCTTCAAATCAAATGTCCCAACAAGAAACCGGTCTAAATTTGAAAAACTTGTCTGGTACAGTAAGCTTATTTATTTATTTATTTTAAACATCCCTTTAGTTTTTTGAATTATTCTCTTTCGTGATATCTTCCAGACCAAGAAATCGTTTGGTGCAAGTAAAAAGCTGCTTGCTGAAAGTCCTGCTGCTTCAAAACCGACTAACACAAGTCCGTCAGCAAAAGAGCTGGCTGCTTCTGTTGAATCATTTGCAAACTACTTAAAACATATCGTCCGACCCGGAAATGAAGACACTGAGCCACCACCAGCAAGGTGGTCCGAAGACGAGCCCGCCAAATCGGTCTCGCGAACATCCTTCCGGAGACTGTCCGACGAACACCGACTGTCCCGCGAAAGGGCATTGCAGGCTGAGGTGGAGAATTGGCAACTTGCATGGAAGGACGAGAAGAAGAGGAACGACAAACTGATTGCGGATATGGCGTCCCGCGAGAAGGAGTGGTCACGAAGAGAGGAGAGGTGCCGTCTTGAATATGAAAGTCAGATTCACGAGCTCAAACAAGAGCTATTTGTTATGCAGTCAAAGTTTAACGAGACTGAGAAAGAGGCTGACTTGAGGAAAAGAGTAGCAGCTGGTGGAAGGTTAGAGGTTAGTTAAGCAGAGCCTCATTACAAATTACCAGACATTATTGATGTTAACTGCTTGAAATTCTTTCAAGGGAATAAATTTTCTTTGGTTTAGCTTCTAAATACTCTTCTTGATTGGTTAGGCGAGACTCACGCCACTTACTAGCTCAGCCAATCAGATGCTTACCCTACCACTTTTATAACTTACTTAAACGCGTTTTCCCGCGTTCGATTCCTTTAGCGCACCTCTTTCATCCCTCTGAGGCTTTTCTGACATTTGTCTGTTAAGTCGTTAAGGTTTGAAGGGCTCTATGAAATTTCCTGCAACGCTCCTTTCTGGAAAAAAATTATTGTTTTTTGACAAAGATTGCAGCAATTTTCCTGCCAAAAAGAGACCGCAGGTTCGCGCGTAAGAGTCCTCTTCGTTGGCAGTACTGTTTCCCATCTTAGGATCCTTTAAGTTGATACATTCCGTCATCCTCATGTGTTATCTCCTTATTACAGTAATGTTAGGTTAAGAAGACCGCATCTGTCGTACTCTTTCTCACCAGGTTGCTTCTGAGGAGGAGATGAAAAGGTTGGAGAAGGAGGTTCGGGAACAAGAACAACTTTTAACAGGATATCAACAAGAAAATGAACGGCTTTATAAAGAACTCAAACAAATACAGGCCAAAGAGAAGGCGAGCGAGGCCAGGATGTTCAGTGAAAACCAAAAGCTGGGTAAGAAGAATGTCAGATTGTCGATGCGCTTTTTTTTAGTTAAGTTGTGGTATGTTTTTTTTCTTTTGTCTTCTACTCGAGTTTGTGGCTTGTAGTGGAGAAGGGGGAAGGGGGAAGGGGAAAAGACGGTCGGACGGACGAGCAGACGTACTGGCGGGAGACGTGCAAACTGGGCAGCTAGGGGTGTAGGAACTTTGCCTACACCTTGCCTGAACTAATAAACTAAATAGAAACATTGAGTGACAGGTAAGGTGGCAGACTGATGAACAGTTAATTTGGCCTTATCAACTGAGTTAATGTTGGCCACCGTAAGGAGTTTCTAAAGCTGTCGTTTTGAACTTTAGCCCTCTATTTGTTCTGACGAAGGGCTAACGCTCGAAACGCTTTAGAAACTCTTCACGAAGGCCAATTTACATTATTAACTTAGTTAATAAAACCAAATCATCTGATATTAACTTTCACCGACGTAACAGCAAAGTTTATTAAGAAACATACCCCCTTTGTTGATAAAAAATTAGACTGTCATACGGAGATGTCAACAGAACGACTATAGATGGACATACATGTAGATCAACTGTCAGACAGTTGAATATTGACATAAAAACTCAAATACCACTTGATAACTTCAACTGGTGGTCACGATAGAAGTAGTAGATGTATTTTTCGCTGTAGCATCGGAACTCGCCATCCTGAAAGAGAAGATAGAACGACGAGAAAGCGGGGGACCTGGACCAGACTTGCCAGCTCCAGGCTCTGCCACACTAGGCGCGGATAAAATCTCCCAATTGACAGTAGAGGTGAGGTCATTACGGAGACGAGTGAGTGAGGTACAGGACGAGGCGGATGAACTGAGACGAGCAAAGCAAGAGCTGGAAACACGAATTAGAGGGATAGAAAATGAGAGAGATGCTGCAGTGAAACAAAGCAGTCAAGTTTTAGGTTGGTATTTAGTGTGGCTAGAAAGGTATAAGGAGGAATGTGGTACCCCTGTGGTACCCCTGTTTGTCCAGGGAAATTGGTTATGTATAAAACTAAACTTTTCTTATGGTATAGTTCTCGGCATGCTTCATTGTGTAGATGAGTTACTGCTATGGGCTTCCCAACAGGAAACGAGAAATGAATACATAGAGTAACATAATTTTTAAAGAGCAGATGAACCAGTCTTTATAGGAATGATAGAAACCAACATGTCGGTTTTTTTTAGAACTAGTGCACGCTGAATAGCCCAATCTCGTTGCGACATCCTCCTTCGGTGTCGAGAAACAGTCATTCACGAATTTATTCAAGAACAAGCCGCGCAGAAGTGTTCACAAGAAACTCATAAACTGTTAGTCAAAGAACAAGGCTTGTCATTTTCGATCGAGAAATAGTTGATTTAATATTCCTAAAGCTTTTAGAACTTTTTTATCCTTATTTTGTTCCAAGTGCAGTTGAAGAAACTTCATTTCATCATTTCACTGAAGTTGGCCATGGCTCGTCAAATTCTTTTGAAAGACCAATTTAAATATAACAATTTCAATCCTGCCTTTGATCGTTTGCAGGCTCAAACACAAGAGAAATCGCCGAACTTGAAAGTCGACACGCAGCAGAGGTTGAACGCTTGCGCACTAAGCTCAAATGGTATGCTGAGACCCAGGCCCTTCTCGACCGTGATGCAATCACGCTGAAGAAGAAAGAGGAAGAAATCAGCGAGCTTAAAGAAACTGTTGTCCGGTTACAGGCCCAACACGGCCAAACAGTGGCAGAGAAGAAACAAAGAGGAGTGGAGAGGGCTAATGATGCAAGGCGGATTCAAGATCTAGAGCGGCAGGTGAGGTGGCGGTGACGTTACACTAACTCTTTACTTTATGTAATATCTTAGTTCCTAACTTGAAGATTTTGCGTGATTCTCCAAAATTTATTTCAGTACAACGCAGAGACATTCAGTAGGTATTTTAGACATCAACAACGCTTCGTACCTTTTTTTAACGGAAAGGTACAAAAATTGAGATTTAAAGGAGGGTTTTCTCTTTTTCTGGAGCACACTCCTGCTTTAAAAAGTTTGAAAAATGACTGAGTAACAACGGTTATTTTGACGTAAAGAGTTGTGGTGAGTTCAATTAAAAATTAGAGAGATGGTGGGCATGCTTCATTGAAAGTTTATAACAACTAAGAGGTTGCTACATCTGTTGTCACCTTCTTTTAAAGGTCCGTGAGATGGAGGAGATCATCAAACGCCGATATCCAAACTCCCTACCTGCTCTTATTTACGCTGCTGCCTCGGCACCAGGCCAAGCTCAGCCCTTGACGACCGAGTCACCTCGCAAACATTCTCCGACTTACGCATTCCTCGAGAACCGAGTGAAAAAGCTCGAGGCTGAACTTGAGGATAAAGATGAGGAAGCAAGTAAACGAATACGATGTGTCGAACAAAAGTACAATGCGCTGAGATTGGAGTATGAAGATAGAGTTAAAGACTTGGAGCAAGATTTACAGCGCGCAAATGAACGGAATGAAACAGCTAGATCAAATACGCGCACTAAAATTTTCGAAGAGGAGCTACAGAGGGCGCGTGAGGCGAATGACGAGAAAGTTAAGCTGCTTCAGACTGAAATAGAAGTCCTTCAGGACGCTCTGTCTAAAGCAACAACGGCTGAGGGTGGAAAGGCTACTCGTAGGAAGCGACTTGAGTTAGAGAAACGAGAGACTGACGATGTAAGTCTCGCGATTCAACCTCTTCAGGAAAAACTCGAAAAGAAGGAGTTGGAGTTGGAGGATTTGAGGCAAACATGTAATCGATTGCAGCGTGAGAGAGAACAGATGCTTGCTACAGAAGGTCACTTAGTGGATAGGTATACGAGTCCCAAACCAGACCCTCTTGTTGATGACTTAACACTAGAGAATAAGCGCCTTAAGGAGCAGGTCTCGCACATGTCTCTGGATATGGATCAACAACGGGTTCGTCACCAGGCTTCTCTAGCGGAGAGCGAGCGAAGTACCCGGCTAGCTCGCGAGGAGGCAGCTGACCAGCTGGCAAGTGTGCAGGCTCAACACAAACGTGAGCTAGATCAGCTTAAGGCCGGTTTTGCTGCAGAACACGGGTCTTCCAAAATAGCTGAGCTGAAAAGTCAGCTAGCAGGTCAGGAGATTGTTATTCAGCGACTTAAGGTGAAGATGGCTGATACAACTGTCAATGCAGAGACAATAGCAGCGGCAAAGGTGAGGATAAAATAATGTCTACTCTGTTGAAGATGTCATTTCCTTGAGCTTAATTGCCGTCAGTGTGAAATGTTAATAGACTGGAAGATAAAACCCTTTTTCCCTCCCTTCACGGGTAGGTTGACTTGGGGTAGCTGCTTATTTCAGCCTATGTTCGTGTATAGTCTATGGTTGGCTCCTACCGCACCCGAAACCTTCCGGAAGTGGCGCGCGGGGGGGAGGAGAGGGGAGAGGGGGGCGCTAACAAAGTTGTAGAGACGTGTTTATTCGACGACGAGATGGGTTGTGAAGGTTGTTAAAGCGGGGGGAGGGGACAATCATTTGGTCGTGGATCTTTCTTTATCTTCTTTAGAATCCGTGTAATAACCTCATTTAAAAATTTAGGGTTTGATAAATACACTGAAGGCAGCTATCGTCCAGATTTATTATTCAGGTGCATTCTTTGACTTGGGTGATCCTTGCAATAAAACTTGAATTTTGTGTCTACTCATTATACCAGTTTCCCATTCGTAATGTCCTTGGCTTAGCTTGCGCCTGTAACGGAAAAGCGAATGGCTGGAATTTGTTATGAAATGGTTGGTCATTCGTTGCTGGTATGTATTTCGAACCCAGCTCGACGAAAAGGAAGGGAAAGCTTGCCGTGAACAAGGAACGTCCTATGAATTTTTTTGGTACTTGTTCTCGGTACTAATCGATTTCTTGTTCATGTTAGGTTCGTGAGGAGTCTCTTCAACAGCAGGTTGCTCAACTTCAAACAGATCTGAGACGTGCTAAGAAGATGTTTACACCCGAAATGAACCACTTCGACTCACTAGAGACTAAAATTGTAGCTCTTGAACAAAAGCATTCTCAAAGAGAAGTGGACTTACAGAGGGTTATAGAAAAAACACACCTTACGGCCAAGATCGAGAAAGAAGAAACAGAGGCAAGATGGAGACAGGTTGTACGTCAAAAAAATCGGGAAATCGAGAAATTTAGATTTGAACTTGACGGTATTCTCGAAGTGCTTAGTGAATTGAAACGCCAGGGAGTGGTCATACCCTTCAGAAATGGAGAAGGGTTTGCACCTTAAAGGAAGCCTTGTTTGTTTCCAATACACCGTGAGCAGTCTGGGCCCCTGTGGGCCACAATGCTAGTTCTTCACTGTTAAAAACGCTAGTGTGGTTATGAAATGACGGTGTGAGAGCTGTAGTTTCACTGCACTACACAAGCTCAAGGAGACCAAGTGTTGATAAGGCTTTATAAACGGAAAATGTCACCAGCCTTGCGGCGGAACAAGAAAGGAATGCGTGTCCAGCTGGTCACTTGCTGGTATGGGTGAAATACAAAAGGCTTGGATAACTGAGTAACACATCAGCGCGCCTTGTAGTACAGATCGATCTGTGGGCGACAATGCAGCAGTTACCTTTCCACGTTCATCGATTGATACATCTCCCAGTGTACGCTCGAACTCAATATGTGCTATCGACTTATTCGAGGTTATGGAGAAGTGAAAGGAAGCAACAAAGTCTAGATCTGCTATCAGTAACCCTTGGAAACGGTAGGAACTTTCCTTCCACTCAACATGTTGAACTTCGCGCCATTAGTCTGTCAAAAAGACCCTGTGTTTGCACTGAAAACGACAAGGGCTTGCCTCGAAAAAACAATAAACAAATCACCGCAACAAGAAGGACAATATTTTCGGAAAAGGATAAACGAAATAGTGGACTTCGTGTTGTGTTCATTCCATGACGAAATTAAAGTATATTTCAGATTGAATCATAAAAGGAAGAATAAAAACGATGAGAATCAAATTTCCAATTCTATTTGCAGTTTGTATTTCAAGCCCTGCAATGTCTTTACCATCCCTGTGTCTTCCGCTTGCGCTTTTTCCTAAGTTTTGGTCTCCAAACTGGTTCATTAAGATCGTCATCTTCCTCGGGTTTTGTCTCGTCCTCGGGTCTCATTTCATCTTGTTCTTCCTCTGTTGATGGCTCTTCGGGTACTATTAAGGGTTCCCTTTTTTAGAAAAAAGCAAATGAGCCTAGAAGTGAATTTATTGTGGTTATCCAAAATGCTTGGGGTAAAGCACCCGTAAGCACAATAGACAAACCTGAAAATCTGGTGGTAATCAGACATGCTTTCTAATAAGTTTAAGCCAATTGCCTTGTATGAGCAGATCTTTCTGCCCCTTTCGCTATCGTGTAAGGGCACTTTTAAGGAATCCCAGTCGTGAGAAGTATGCTAAATTCTAACAGTGTAGTGTTGCAAAAGACCGAAGACCGGTAAAATTGCGGTAACATTGCGATCACCATTTTTCTCAGCACCGGAAAAACAAAACTTTTTGTAGAGATCTTTTCGCGAGAGAGGGTTCGTCTTTTTTTAAATTTGATAAAAATGTAAAGCCTTTGCTCTGATCATGGGCTCTGCTCTCAAATTTCCGTGCCCAAACCACTTCCTTTTCCTTTTTATCTTTCCGCTTACCTTTTTCGTCGTAAGTAAGCCAGTATTAAACCGTAAACCGCGTAGATTGAATGCGAGCAAGCATAGATAGCTAAGGAGCAAATGAAAAAGTAAAACAAGTCCATCATATCCAGCGGTGCTGTTGGCTTGTAATTTTACCTAAAAATTAAATAAAACTGTGACTATAACTTTTGAGTCTTTGACACTAAATAAATGAAATTACTCGCACGAACTGAAAACGTACTTACGTGATGCAAAGAGATAAGAACAACAAAATGTTTAATTTCTTTTGAAGTCCACTGATATAGAAAGAGGTCCAAAAACAGCTATCCTGGTAGGCTTTTAAAGACTGACCGCGTATCAGCATTAAAAGGAGCGTCACTTTCGTCTTTGTGTTCCAACGGAAATTCTGACGTAACAAAGGAATTTGAAACAAGGAGCGCGCGCTGTGACGCGCTGAAGAGCGAGCCCAGTTTCGCGTGACGCTTGAGCTTCAAGTCATCCACTTGCATAAGCACTGAGAGTTTGTACTATTATCATGTCTCCCAATACTACACATATATATTTTTTTCACTCATTATGAGCACCACTATGTGAGTTAACTTCGAGCTAAGTTAGCAAATAAATTAAGGGGGTGAGTTTCTAAAGAAACTGTGGTGCTGCGTCGGTGGGTGAGTATAACTGGGTACTTATCAACCGAGTTGATAACGTAAATTGGCCACCGTAGAGAAACCAGCTGTTCGTTGTAACTAACACAACTATCATTATAAAAACATATGAATTCAGCATCAACCTCGACCCAAGGTTTTTATCCTCGAGGGAGTCGAGGCTCACTCAGCACGTGCAAATCTCTGAACTTATTTGCATTTTGCGGTCTCTCGCCCTATTTCCGTCCGACGAAAACAAAAACAACCAAAAAAACAGACCAACTATTCGAGTACAACTTCCGAAGCTTGGCCAATGGAAAGGGTTTTTTGTGCTTTTATAACTTGACATGACTGATAACTCGCCTCAAAGGTTTGCACAACTGAACAGAACACTTGGTAGGAATGAGAATGAATGTTTTGTGTAGGATTTTTTGTATCCTATAGTAGTTTCATGGAATTGATAAAATTTTAAATTTACCCCTAGAAAGTGTTTCTATCTTATTTACCGAGAGGATGGGATTTCCGCACAGCCCCACATTATTGGAAAACAAAGTCGTAGTCCCAAAGGCAATCTGCTGTTTTCGCCACTGTTTTCTTTATCCAAGAACTGTATGGATATTGAATCATGGGTTGTGCGGAAATCTTACTACAGAGGGTAGTTGGTTTAAGCCAGTTAACTTGTCCTCCGTTACAACACAATTTACACAAATGAGGTGATGCTTTTTTCTTATAGATAAACGGTTACGAGAGAATAATACAAAGTAAGGCTTTCGCGTGGAATGAGTGGACATGAGAGAATTACACCGAGGTAATAGACCAGTTGTTAACTACCGCCAGAGGGAGGATTACATGGTTTTCAGGGAGAAACGAAGAAGCATCGGTCGTCGCCAATAGAGTATAAAGGTGGATATATACAATTGAGTGCCAATTAACTGTGAATGAGTAGAGGGGGGAGGGAAGGGGTAGGCGTAACAATACTACAATACTACAATGCTTTACAAGGGGAATTAGGTATTTTTTATAGTGACAAAACCAAAATCCTCCAACCTCCCTTCCCTCCCCCGGTGAAGAAAAGTGACCGGTCTCAAAGTATGAAAAGGCTACAAATCCCGTGACAACTCACTGATCAAAGAAAAAATTGACTTTATCGTTCGGACCAAAACTTTCCAGCCTTGGATCGTATAATGAAAAAAGAGAGTAGGTGACCAGGCAGAGGGCTTCTTTCACGTTGATTTATTTCAAACAACAAACAGGAGCACCGTACGTGCAGCGCAGCCTGTTTACCATATTACAACGGATAATTAATAAAACGTTTTGCTCGCTCGACTCTTGATATAGCCGGCTTCGCTCATTTTGTTAACTCTACAAGCAAATCCTTCCTGCAATGTAATTTTCAATTCATCTATGTATGAATTTATTTGAATTTCTGGTTATTCGTTAATATCTTAATGTTTCATATTCATATTTCTTGATTGCAATGTTCTTGAAATGCACTCTTCACAACAATTTTGTCAATATTTTCACCAAAACGAATAACGTCTTTAAGTGACGAGTAGCTTCTTTGTCAACAATGATTTCTTTGACATCCTTGGTTTAGAAAGGCGCCAAATATCACAGGTCCTTCAGGAAACCTCCATAGTGGAGCTCATTTTAGGGTCCCTTATTTCGTGTCACCTACTCATCTCCTCTACTGAAGCCAATAGCCGGCTCATATGCCTAGGATCTGATATACCCGCAAATTGGAAATGTCTTTCCTCCATACCAGGCATGGCTGCCATGTCGTCATATTCTACTTCAGCAAGACTGGTGATATACATGGGTAGACCTAATGAAATCAGCCACTCTTCCATACTTCCCAAGCTTCCGAGAGGATCTCTTGCAAATTTTAATTCCGATACGTTACAGGGAACCTGTGGGAATCGTAAACAATCAAATGATACACGAAAAAAGGAAGAATTCTTTTTCAGTAACAAAAGCTTATCCCATGCATGTTTAAGTAGCTATGAATTTTTTTTTTCGCTAATTTTTTTGTCTCGCCCGTGGGATTTCGTCGAAAAGGAGGGACTGCCATAGTCTGCCGATTCCTTGGCGATTTGTCATCAGTGAAGAGAAAGCTAATCTATATTAGTAGATCTTCGGGTATCTTGTCGCAAACGTTATCTGTAAGAAACACTTAAAAGTGATGCGTCACTCTTTTTTTTTAACTTACATTGACTTCAATCGTTGTACTTTGAAGCGAAAATAAGTTTCCGAACCGAATCAACCATAAAAAAGGCCAAAAAAATTCAGCGTAATTTCAGTTTGTCTACTTACAGCTGTTCTACCAGCTTGCTTTAGCTTCCCGACTCTTAATCTCTCCAAAATATTAGCGAGTTCTTCGTGTGATCGGCGGAGTTCTTCAGCGTATCGGTCCACAAGATTCACTGGGACACCCCAGCAACCATTCTAGAAAGAAAAAAAATATATTCGTCGGTTAAATATACAATAGAATACATTTACGGCAGTGAATTGCTGAGTGTGAGGTTTCTAAACAATAGCAGTAGTCTGTTGTTAAAAGAAATACGCACAGAATTAGAGTCGATTTCTCATTCGGGAACCAGGGAAAACTTCCAAGTTTCTAGGATATATAAAAATACCATCAAGAAGAGAAAAATTAAAAAGGACGGCCATTGATAGAGAAGATTGATACGGTCTGGTAACAAACAATTCAAAAAATCTCGGAAGAAAAATTTCAAGATTTAAAATAAGCTGCGAAGCTTAGTTCAGGTTTTTATCACCCATAACAGCGCACTTTCTGACAACGGATTTAAGAACGAGGCCCTTCAAACTAACCAGATTCCAACAAACTTTGAGCTTCTAGGGAACTTGATTGACTCTTTATCTCCCATGAGTGACCGAGACAGAATTTCTCCTTAAAATATCAGTGCAGTATCAAGCAGATAGTTGATGAGAATACAAAAAAATATCAACTTGACGATTATTGGTTGATCCTATAGCAAATTCTCCCTGCTAGCATCATAAATTGTATGTTTGGCAGTAAGGAGACTTACTGACGAGATCTTGGGAGTGGAAGGGTTAGCGATTAAGATCAAACAGACGTGCATTGTACGTTAGCTTATACTTACCGCATCTGTGTAGGGTTTCTGAGTTAGATCGATGTGCTCTATATGCAGTTTTCTTTCCACCATCTCCCCTAATGAGTGCGAAGCTCGTTTAACTCGTGGCAACGGAACTGGCGGCGAAGAGTGGTCCTCCGCTTCGTTTTTCGAAACTTCTAACTCAGTTCTTTTCGAAATTGACGGCTTACTTTCTACTCTAACCATGTTTGTTCCCATACCGCCGCTGCTAGATTCCCCATGGGTACGCGTAACTCCCAATGTTGTCCCCTCGACAGGGCGTGGTGGGGGCACCGCTGTATACAGCTCATTTTCTGTGTCTTGTGTTTCAGCCTGTTTTGCGCGCGGTCTTGGCTTCGGTTTGGGTTTCGGTTTAAGCTGTGGTTTCTCGCTAACGTTGTGAACTGAAGGCACTTTATAAATCTCTTCGGTTGAAGCCGCTAATTTTAAGTCCTTGCCGAACTTTCCTTGTTTAGCATGCGGAGGACTTGTTTGAGTCTCCACACTACGAGCATCCGTGTCTTCCTGAGCATTTGTTGAATTCTTGGGTCGAGGTGGCAAGGGCGGTGGTCTGT